AGCTCAAAACAATCAGATTTTCATCTTCACTCATGAAAATCAAAATTTTTGGCCATAGAGATTTCTAGAAACTAACTCGAGAATCTCAAGTAAAGGTTTTCTTGATGTTTACCTTCAAGCTAGGGTTTCAAGGCTTCTAATCAAGTTCTTCTTCAAGATTCTTAAAGATTCTTCAAGAATCATTTTCTTTTAGGTATGTAAGGCTATCATAGTGTTGGACTAGTTCGTCCTCACGCCCTACATCTACTTTCAGATCAGTAAAAGAGTAATCTAGGATACTTTCCCTAGATTTGAGTATTCTTGAGATAAGTTGATTTTGAGTTCTTGAATTCATGTTTCTTTTAAAAGTTCTATTCCTAATTATCGAATAGCTATATTGTTATTGAGATCCTTTATATCATGAATCATAACTCTTGAATTCATAATTCAAATTCAAGAGAGAGTTAAGAGTATAGTTCAAGGAAGCCTTTGAGTTCAATTCTGAATCATTTGAGAATTCAATTCTGAATCATTTGAGATCTATCATCGATTTGAGTTAAATTTTGAGAAAGTAAGTATGACAATGAGAAGAGTTGTACATATGTTCCTTATTGATATTTTGACCCTTGAGTCGAGTCGTTCATGCCCATAAACTCCGCATGCACGTCGTAAGTTGAGCATCCTTCAGAGAAGTGGTGTCTTCAAGTTCTAAGCCTTTAAGTGTTGAGTTCCTAACCCCTTTTGAGAAGTATCTTTGAGTCATTGAGTTGAGTAGTTCATGCTCATAATTCCGCATGAACTCTAAGTTGAGCATTCTTGAAATAAGTAGTATTATTGAAGTTTTTGAGTTCCAAGTATGTGAGTTCTATCTATGGTTATTGAAAACCTTGCTTTGAGTAGTTCATGTCCATAATTCGGTATGAACCATATTTTAAGAAGTCTTTTACAAACGTTTTAGCTTTGTTTTAAGTCTTAAGTTTTGAGTTCAGTAAAGAGTAAAGAGTAAAGTTTGAAGTCTTTTTCTTCAAAAGTATATGGGGACTAAGTATTCCCAAAGAGTTTATAAATGTTTTCACATTTAAATAAGAACGGAAACTGAGATTTCCAAAGAGCTTTCGGGCTAGTTTTCAGAAAAGAGTAATCGCTTTTTAAATGAGGCAAGAGAGGAAAGTGGGATTTCCAAGATAGCCTTTGAGCTAAGTTTTTTAGCATTTATCTCAAATCAGCAGAAAGAAGTATGTTTTTAAAACATAAGAGCTAGTATATTTTTGGGAGTCGTATTGAGTACCGATATGGGGGAGAGTTCAGACAACTCACAACCTCCATAAACCATGTAGCCACCATGGGTAGAAAAGAGTCATACTTTTAGATGAACCTTTTTCAAAATAGACTAGTGGATCCATTAGGCAGTTCAGGTCCTATACCTTTGGTCGGGTATAGGATGCACTAGCAGCGTGAGGAAGATCGTTGTATCATCACAATAGCTCTTATGTGATGGTTGTCAGTTAGAGAAACTTCCACAACATAAATGAGTTCAGTCATATTGAGTTGAGTATCCAGAGTCAAATATCATATATTTGAGTCGAATATCATATCTCTGAGTTGAGTATCTTATCCTTGAATACTTCTGAGTTGAGTAAGTTTGAGTAGTTTTGAGTATCCTTGAGTATTCCTTGAGTTGAGAAAGTTTGAGAAGAGGTAAGTATGTTTCCTTTTTATCAAGTTTCAAGCTTATGTTTATGTTTTAGAATTTCCCTTACATGCTTGTACATTCCACGTACTGAGCCATTTGGCCTGCATCTTCCCATGATTCAGACACAGGTATTCAGGATCATCAACAGGAGCTTCATTGATACATCCGGGAGTTCGAGTTATCTATGGTGAGCCTCCTTGTTTCCGGAGGATTTCATTTACCTTTCAGTTATATCAGTTGTTAGGATGTCGTGGGTCTTGTCCCGACTTTTATCTTTAATAGTTAGAGGTTTCATAGATAGTCAGTATAGTTGAAAAGTCTGTATCATTTATTTTATTAAATGTTTTAAAGACTAAAGTTGCTTTTTTATTATACAGAGTTTTCTTTGGATTTAAAGTTTGTATTTAAGTTTTATGAACTTTTATTTCAGTTTTAAGCTTTTGCATGCTTAAGTTAGTTTTCCGCTTGTAGTCAACTAGGATGAGGGTTCGCTTGGGGACCAGCAATGGTCTTCGAGTGCCGGCCACGTCCAGGGTGTAGACTCGGGTCGTGACATATATATTTAAATATTTTAAAAAAAATATAACACTACTATGTATGATCTAGAGAGAGGAGCATGGGTTCACGTGAACCCACGACACCCCCTCTAGATACGCCTCTGTCGTGACCTGCAGGTCATGACACGCATATAACTTGCTAAACTTTTTTTTCTTCAATATATTAATATAGACAGTCTACTCAAATACAAATATCATTATAAAATCATATAATTCAAATTTATAACCTATACATATGTACGACTTTATCAATACTTTAAGATTCTCATTCAACAAAATGCCAAATTTGTCAAGTGCGTCAGACACTTAACATTTAGAAATTAAATTACTTAAGTATATTATCATTTTCCATAATTATTTCAACATTTTAAAATCGTTACTTTTGTTGTAAAAAATTTAAGAAAAATTTTCTTTTTAGTTCGCTAAAAAGGAAAATAAACACACTTCAAAATTTAGAAATAATTAGTGTAGACTATACACTTAATATTTTATCCTTTAAAAAATAAATTATAATCACATAAATATTTGATATAGTCGTTCATATGATATTAAAACGAAATTTTTACCCTCTCTAATGTAGTATAGTAAAATATAATTCATCTAAATTCAATAACTTAAACATAAACTTCATATTTAGATGGATGTGTGGAGCATATACTAGTTAGGAGATAAGATTAGGAATGAAAATATACGGGATAATATGTTAGTGACCTTCATGATAGACATGATGCGTAAAGCGAAAATGAAATAATTTGGATATATGTGAAGAGAAGGAACACAGATACCTCAAGTGAAGAAGGGCGAGAAATTAAAAACAAAAAATTTAAGAAACATGATCTCACATAGGAAAGCATAGAAAATTACTCCCTCCGTCTCATTTTATATGTCACATTTTTACTTTACACTTGTATTAAGAAATGATGTAACTTTACCCTTCTACCCTTATTTAATGTTTTCTTAAGTCAACTTTATTAATAAATGATAAGATTAATCAACTATTCTATCAAAGGTATAATAGGTAAAATATGGTAATTTATGCATAAATTTTATTAAATGACAAGTATTGTGATCCAATTATTTATAAAAAGGGATGACATATAAAATGAGAGACGGAGGGAGTAATAGATATAAGATAACTGAACACTTCTCTCTTTTCTATGGGAGAACGTGATATTTTAGTACTATTTATTATTATCTTATCATTATCCTTATCTTTAATTTTATCACTACTATTATTTCTTTTAGTTTGATTATCTTTACTATTTTAGTTACCAATATTTGTCTTTATAATTTTTGTTGCCAATACTCTTTTCTTCGATATTTTCATCTTAACTTATTTTACCATTTCTTGTTTCATGAGTAACAAAAATAACGTTTCTATCTCCGAAAATAATATTTAAATTTGTATATATTATATCCTTATCAGATTTCACTAAAATATATTAAAATTTATGTATATTCTACTCTCTCAAATTTTACTTACGAAATCATTATTCTAATTATATTCATGTTAGCATAAAGTTCATATTCTGAATCCATCTCGAACTTTTCTCCAAATTGAAATGCACCCTTGTGAAACCCCACATGTAGTGTTCCTTACTCCCATTCCGTACGGATGTTCACTTGTATTTGCACCAAAGAGAGAATCAACAACAACAACACCATTATTTTCGGTGTAATCCCATAAGTAAGAGTCATTTGATACGTTCGAAATATAATTTGAGATTAACTTTATACATCTATGTTTTAGTTTGAGCTATTAGTTGATCCCGCGATCATTTTATCACACCGTTTATACTAAAACGGTGGAATTACTATCCCATACTACAGAACGTCGAACCTAATTAAGACAAAACACTAGCTGATTTCTTCCCATCTGTTCTAGCCTTAATGTTCAGAATTACGTACCTAGTACATGCACTACAACAAAAATAACTTTTAGCGGCAATAAATATTGACATTAGTAAAGAGTACTAAAGTCTTAACCGACATTAGTTAAGTGTCATTAGAACCAATGTCGCTAAATATTTTAGGGACATATACAAAGAGTGCTAATTGCCACTAAAAATATATATTTAGTAACAATTAATCTTAATTACCGTTAATGATTTTTTTTGATGTAGTGATGTTGCTGGAGAGAAATGACTGGTATCCGGTCAAAGTGCATGCAGCCTGGTATCAAAAGGTGAGACAAAATAATGGGATATATGCTTATCCCATCCCATGTACCAAACAACCTTTTAGTGGTGTATGCAGATCTTATTGGATAGAAAAGTTGTTTCCGATAAACCCTCGGCTCAATAACAAGTGAAGGGGCAAATTGAGTAATGCACTTAAGAAGGGTAGAGGAGGAATATGATACCTGACAGCAATGTGAGTGGATGTGGATATAAGCGTGTCAAGCTTGATTTTTTCAACAATATGGAATGCAATTTGTATAAGCACGTGACAATTAATAAAAAAGAATTTCAAGAAACCTTTTACTAAAATAGTTGAAGAAGTGATGAATAATTTCTTTATATGGCTTGAACAATTTGGAGATTGATTATTTTACATGATACTAGAGCATGATTCATTTTGATTTTTATTCGATCATCATAGTATATTGTTCATACTTCAGATGTCCAGTTCTGAGCCTATGAAATGTATTTGTCTTAATGGATATTTGTATACTACAACCTTGGGTCCTACCCCACCCCCCCTTATCCCCACCTCCAAGTGTGTGGGGTGTAGTGTTGGGAGGTTTACTACAAAAAGGCCACTATCAATAACATCAATATATACACAAGCAAAGTAGAAGTTAAGCAACTACTCAACACACATTAGAAAAATGGAGATGGAGAAGTTGGAGAAAGAAATGAAGCAATCAAAGTTTAAGAAAATTTGTGTGTTTTGTGGTAGTAGTCCTGGCAAAAAGAGTGGCTATAAAGAGGCTGCAGTTGAGCTTGGGAAAGAACTTGTGAGTAAAAATTCTCTGTTTTTTTTAAAAAACAATCTGCTTTCAATACTTTACAAGAATAGACTAATTGTTGCACAAATGATTTTGTTTCCTATAATTATAACTAGGAGAACTTAGGACATAACATTAGATGATTTCTTTGTATTCGTCTTAGTTTTAGTGGACAGAGTTATTTGATATTTATGTTGGTAGAAAGCAATTGGTACCCCGTGAAATTATGTGTAGATTGGTCTGAACATAAGTTGTGTGGACCCTTCACTTTCAATATTATGTCCGTGTTGGAGTTTTAAAGAGTCTAAACAACATAGGTCTGAACACCATGGTTATTAAAAAAAAGTGTTGTGACTCGTAAGTCTTGATTCATCCTACCGGGTGAAATTATGTACAAATTAATTCGAACACCATAATTATAAATTCATGTCTCAAGGCTCTATACTTCGAAAGAACATTCTTGAAACTTTTCTAATTAATGGTTTGTAACAAATGTGTCATTAAGTTGTTTTTTCAAACATAAGGGGCCAATTTTATAATATTCTTTTCACTCTACCCCACCCCTAGTTTCTTGGTCAAGTTTCTAAAGAACTATGATTGTCCACTATTTGTTTAAAGTTGATGGTATATCGTAAACAACTCGTAAAATAAAAGTCGAGGAATTACACTAAATATATTGTTGTTATATCATCATCTACTTCAGTTTTATGACATTACTATTCTTGATTGTACACAAGGTATCAAGAAATATAGACTTAGTTTATGGAGGAGGAAGTATTGGCTTGATGGGATTGGTCTCTCAAGCAGTTTACAGTGGTGGTCGTCATGTCCTTGGGTGAGTTTCTACGTCTACATTATCAGATCACTTAAAAGATCATTAATACGTATAGTAATATTTTATAAAAAGTCAAACTTGTAATATGAAAAATAAGATAAATTATTTGCTATGATCACACACACCCCTGACTTAAATTTTTATCATGTTCTTGTATTCAGAGTGATTCCAAGGACACTCATGCCTAGAGAGGTATGCTTCTTTTTTTTCCTTTAACATTACTAGTAGCATTTTGAAGTTTTATTTTATTTTATTTTTTCTGTTCGGATTCTTTAAAATATTGTTGCATTCATGTCAGATTCTCAAAAATATACTTTCTCCGTTTCTCCTTTTTAGTCTGTTTTAAGAAGAATATTTTTTCGTTTTTTTTACGACTCTTTAATTTTAATTTTTCTCGTGGCATGTCTGAAACTACTAGATTAAAGTATATTTTGATACACTCTACATATCTTTAATTTAAGACTATATGATTCAAAAGTCTTCCTTATTTCTCTGATGATATTTTTAAAGATTCCGAACAACGTAGGTGAGGAGAGGAAAGGGGAAACATAAGATATTTAGAATATTTTTTTGGTTCTTATTCTTTGTTGATCTTGTGGTAGTCTATTAGTGGAATTTCAACCTCATCTTTATTATCTTTGGACATGGTTCTTGCACTTGTCGGTATGGGACATACCCTAAAGTGAAAAAAACAGAATTTTTATTAGTGTTTAGTTTGGTTGTTTGTGTTTAATTTGTTTTCCATCTTTTCTTCTTTAAAATCCATCCTTTTCCTTGTCCCCTTCCTTTCCTTTTCCTTTCTCCTGGTCCCCCTTATTGTAAGTAGATGGGTCCTCATTGCCACTTTAGACATAAAAAAAAGAAGGAGAATCTTGAAACCTATAGGGTATGGGTTCGAGTTGTGAGGTAGGTTGTCTACTTCACACTTTATTAGGTGTGTCACTTCTATTGATCCTCTGTGAACGCAGGATATTTTGTGCACTAGACTGTCTTTTACTGTGTTCTTGTACATGAAGGGGAGCAACGTAAAGTTGTTTTTGTGTGACTTATAGGTTATAAAGGGTGCGAGTCGTGGGATCAATCACAAATGTTTGTGTCAGGGTAGGTGTGACCCTTCTTCTAACCCTGTGTGAACGTAGGATGTTTTGTGCACCATGCTACTCTTTACTATGTTCTTGTATATGAAAGGGAGTCTTGGAGTAACCTATAGGTCACATGTTCGAATTGTGTACTTAGCCAGTGATGTTTGCATCATGATAGTACAACATCCTTTTGAGTGCAAGCCTTTCTAGAACCCTACGTTAACACGAAATACTTAAATTGTACTTAAAAGTCACAAGAAGCAAACAAAATGATCATTGAAATTTCACTAGTTCTACACAACATGACCAAAATCACATGAAATGTTGAGTTCTCCACTAATCCCCCACCTAATTTGTTGATTTAGCTAATCATGGTCCATTTATTAAGTGTTCTAATCAAATGGATATTCAAATTAAACACTATAATGATAGAAAGTTACACTTATTGTCTTGCTCTCACATGATGAGACTTGAGTGAGGAGGCTACTCTAGAATTTATATGATAATCTCTTTTTTTGTTCTCCTTCCCTTTGTCATGTACTTCACATTCATATTCTTCCAATTTTGTCCTATTCTTGTCACATATATACAATTTCCTAAAAACACCTAAAGATATTAGCCTTGTTGCCAATAAGTAAAGTTGAGAATTATTAGGTGATTGTTTTCATATTGTTCAAGTTTTGGTGGACAAAACTATCGGTATCTGTGTTAATGGGAGGTAACAGATGTCCCATGAAATTAGTCGAGATATATAACTCAAGTTAGCTCAGACACATTACAACATATCTAGTGTAATCTCACAAGTTGGATCTGGGAACAACAAGATATACGCAGACCTTACCCCCATACCTTTGTGGGATAGAGACGTTGTTTTCGAAACCTCAAAAGGAATGTTATCGAAGCAGGAGTGAAGGAAAAATATAACAACGGAATAGCAAGATACAAAACAAATGAAATAAAAAAATAGTACCACTCGTAGAATAATTAAATAAAAGTTCGCTTAGACACTCGATTATAAAAATTATAAAGTTACCATTTGGTAATGACTATGCCTTGCTTTAGTGGGAACTAACAGATATCTCGTAAAATTAATTGTGATATGCATAATAAGTTGATTAGACACCACAATTATACAAAAAGACCCTCACCAATCCTTTTGGATTGACTTGGTATGTGGTGTGTCCATTTGCAGATAACTGGTGAAACAGTAGGAGAGGTAAAAGCAGTTGCAGATATGCACCAGAGGAAAGCAGAGATGGCCAAACATTCTGATGCTTTTATAGCTTTACCTGGTTTGTTTTCATTATCCTTTCCAAGATTCTTGGCCATCTCTACGGACCCTACTTGTCGGATTATACTGAGTATGTTGTTGTTCTGCTCTAATACTAGAGTTTCAAAAAGAAATCTACTATGTATATGTTTAGGAGCCGAGAGTCGAGAAGGACAGGAATTTGAACTTTATGGGTTCTGAATTCTCGAACAACTACCTCAAGTTTTAATAATTGGTTATTGAGTTTGTACTTTAAAAAGAAGCACAGTCTGGTGCACAAAGTATCTAACGTTCATACAGGTTCTATAGACAACCTATCCTAATGTAAACATTAATAGTTGCTTTCACGACTCAAACATGTGATGTATTAGTCAGGTACAAACAACTTTACCCTTTGCTCCAAGACTCCCTATCTGGTTTCTAAATTTATACATATTTTAGTAAATATTTTAACACGTATACACAATTTGAACCAAAACTACTAGATTTATCCACTTGTGGTTTCTTAACTAAAAACTCAAATAGATAAAAAGTAAATTTTCTTGTTTTTTTTTTGTAGGTTAAAAAACATAACTATTTATCCATTGTTTTGAATATATAATCAAGTAAATAAGCGTGTGCTCTCCTTAACATCTTAAAATTATTAGATTAGATGATCACACGATTCAACATGTCATACTGTTCATAGGTGGATATGGAACTCTAGAAGAGCTTCTTGAAGTCATTGCTTGGTCTCAACTTGGAATTCATGACAAACCAGTAGGACTATTGAATGTTGATGGTTACTATAATTCCCTTTTAGCCTTCATAGACAAAGCAGTGGAGGAAGGTTTCATCTGCCCTAACGCGCGCCAAATCTTTGTATCCGCGCCTACTGCTAAGGAACTTATAAATAAACTCGAGGTAAATTAGCTTATAAACACTTTTTAACGTATCTACGTGTTTGTAAGTGTGCTCTAAATGCTTATAACCTTACAAACACTTTCAGTTTAACCAAACTTTTTTATAGTTATATCACTATAAGGACAGTTTGGTCATTTCAACAAAAAAAAGTGGTTATCACCCGTGATACTTATTACTCAAGAATCAGTTTAAGTACTTTTATCAAAACACGTAACTTCTTACTTAGAAAAGTAGTTTCAGTACTTTATCTTTATCAATGATTTTTAATCAGCTAATTCAAACGAGCTCGTATTATTTTGCAGGACTACTTTCCTAGTCAAGAAAATGTTGCATCAAAACTTAATTGGGAAAAAGAGGAGATAGAAGAGTATATTCCTCCACCAAATGGAAGATGCCATCAAGCTAGTTTAACATAAATGTTAAAAAAAGATCAAAGTTTAGGGGGAGAAATTAAAATCAGCAGTTTATAATATATAGTAATTTAGACTGCAGAAACAAGTGCTCAAACAACATTATTTCTCTGTTTGAGGATTTTCAATTGACATTGTATCATGGAATAGGGATAGTGTCAATTCTCTTTTATTTATGCAAATTGTGTTAGTACTTCTCCATTTATATTATTTGTCTACGGATTCAACAGAATTCAATAGTTTTGACTCAAATTTTGTATTTATATTTTAAATCCGTATAAATATTTATGAAGTAATTAGTAGGTTGCATTTTCTTGAATCTAGAACTCATAAACTCAAAACCAGCAAAGCTATACCGGGGGGAATGGAAAATCACTAGTTTTGTTAGTCAGTCCATTTTTCATGTGCGTCAGTCCAATCCCAATTTCGTTGATTTATCGAAATTTTTGCAAGAATACTTTCAAGATTAGTAGCTTTACGATAAATAAGACAAAAGAGCAAGAATATATAAGTAAGATCAGACTAGTGACTAGAAAGGCAAGCACTCATGTTTCAAATTGGCAAGACAAGAAAATAAAGGAAACCAAGATTGTTTTCATATCATAAGTTTAACAGAATTTAGTATTTTCGACATATAATATAAATAAATAGTGAACATGTATTTAATTTTTCGTAACAATTAAAATTACGAATTCAAAACTTTAAAAATGCAATTAGTTAAATATTAACAATTTAAAAGATTTATCTCATAATTTAAATTTTAAATGGGGAAAATGGAAAATCACTAGTTTTGTTAGTCAAACCATTTTTCATGTGCGCGAGTCCAATCCCAATTTCGTTGATTTATCGAAATTTTTGCTTCAAAGAATACTTTCAAGATTAGTAGCTTTACGATAAATAAGACAAAAGAGCAAGAATATATAAGTAAGATCAGTGACTAGTGACTAGTGACTAGAAAGGCAAGCACTCATGTTTCAAATTGGCAAGACAAGAAAATAAAGGAAACCAAGAGTTTTCATATTATAAGTTTAACAGAATTTAGTATTTTCAACATATAATATAAATAAATAGTGAACATGTATTTAATTTTCCGTAACAATTAAAATTACGAATTCAAAACTTTAAAAATGCAATTAGTTAAATATTAACAATTTAAAAGATTTATCTCATAATTTAAATTTTAAATTCGTCTATGGTTTTGATATGATGGTACATTGTCTACACTAACCAAAGACTCTTTATTTTATTTTGAATTCAGAAGGGTTTATTAGAGTTATATTGTTCTACATAAAATTTTAAAACCCGTTTTGAGTGAGTAATTTAAGTTTCACACCTTTTTTTCCTTTTGAATCGATCAAAGTCAAGTAGAGAATTAAATTCAATTGTTTTATTTGTATTTGTTAGCAAAAAAAATTAGTTAGTTTATCAGAATTGGAGCTAATTTATTTAGTGATAAAGTACATGTTTATATGATGTAAAATATTGAAATCATGATAGATTTGCACAAACCTCAAAAATAATGGAAAACAAAGGCTCATTTTCTTCTTTTTTGTCCTTATGGAACTCTGACTCAAACCAATAATACAACATGTATAATCTTGATCCATTTGTTTGTATACCATATAGTTCAATATTCTTTTTTATTTTTTATTGATTTTTCACCTGATGTTTTTTATTCGTATCAAGACTTGATTAAATTTGAATTCACGTATTGCAGGATTCATTTTTAAAAGACGATACTCTAAATATAACTATTTTCATTCTCACTTCGAACTCGAAATTTCTGATTAAGGTCATAGTGTCTTATTTTGTATATGCTTGTTGACGATGTTTCTATAATATATATAACATAATCTAGATTCTAGATATTGTTTGATTGCGGGGATTTAGATTTAGATTTGTTTCTAAGAGGACAAGCACTAAGCTAGACTTATATATATATATTTTTTCAGTCTCAATTTATTTGACATTTTTCGTTTATGAAATTTTAATTTTTTTAATTTGATCGAAAATTTGGACAGAATTATTTACATGTTTGAAAAGCACGCACAAAGAATTATTTATTTAGCTCTCAAAATTCGAAAACTATACATAAATTGAGACAAAGGGAGAACTATATGCATTGTTTGTTTATGTGGGGGACAAAATTAATCGGAAAGAGATTAGTTATTACACAGTGATTAAATTTAACTCATGAAAATATAACTCGATCAAATCTATTTGTGATGATAATTTGACTAAAATGGCCATGGGGTACTCAAATATATACTTGAAAATTCTGCATAAGTTTTGGTGTGCCACAAGGCTATATGCAAAAGAGTTAAAAAAAAAAAAAAGGAACAATAGTAATTGGACACTAGGCATGATTTATGATGATTGGACTTTGCATAACTTTTAAAAAATTATTTGTGAAAAAAATATGGTAGATGTGGTGGGG